CTCAAGATCACACAGTGGCGTAGCTGGGTCTAAAACAACGTCTCCTCTTTCCCTTCCTAACTTAGGTTTTCAGTGATAAATAGCCCTTTATTGTCTAAAACCCTGATTTTGTCAAGAGTCTTGGTAGTCTCACAAAGAGCTCTGCTCCCACGTTGTTCCTTTTATCAAAACTCTTCAGCACACTGCTGCTCTAATGAAAAGTGACCAGTGAACAAACTCACACTCTGAAGTTAAAGATCCACATAGCCTAGGGCATTTGCCTGCCTTCCTTCCTCCTTCCTTCCTTCCTTCCTAGACAAAGTCTCACTCTGTCACCCAGGCTGGAGTGCAGTGACATGATCTTGGCTCACTGCAATCTCCACATCCCGGGTCCAAGGAATTCTTGTGCCTTGGCCTCTCGAGTAGCTGGGACTGCAGGTGTGCACCACCACACTCAGCTAATTTTTGTATTTTTAGTAGAGATGGGGTTTCATCACGTTGTCCAGGCTGATCTCCAACTCCTGACCTCAGGTGATCCACCCACCTCAGCTTCCCAAAGTGCTGGGATTACAGGCATGAGCCACCGCCCTTGGCCAGGTATTTGCATTTCTAAAAGGTTGTTAGAGATGATGACGCTTTAACACAAAGACCTGAATTTCCTGAGGACATAATGCTGATGCTTAGTCCTGGCCGAGACCTCTCCCACCAGAACCTCCATCAGTCAATCATTCTTTCTGTTTGTTTTCCTGGTGGTTGCCTTCCCTGCCCGGCTTTCTTCTCCTTTGGGATTGGCAGCTGACTGTAGTGCCTGGCTGTCTCAGCTTAGGGGGAAGTGGCGGTAAGGAGGAAACTGTAGACAGGATTGATGAAAACAACCACAGGGATTTACTGAGCCTGCGGTCAGAATATTAAGAGGAAGAGAAACGAAATTCAACCAAGCAGAACAAAAAGAAAAGAGTGCACTTAGGAATCAAGTGGCTGAAATCTGAGAGTATGTAAAATGGAACCATTTGAGTTTATAGCATTTATCTACCTTCCCAAAGTGGGTCTATAAACACTAGTCCCAACTGGAAGCAGAGACTAGACTCTTCTAGACTTTTAATGATACTAATGATAAAGACAATTTATATGACAGGTTCTGTGTTTAGCATTATTTAGGGATTTTCTCATTTCATCTTCACAACAACATTATAAGGTGAGTACTAATGTAATCTCTGTTTCACAGATGAGACAACAGAACTTAAAAAGGATGAATAGGCAGGGTGCAGTGACTCACACCTGTAATCCCAGCAATTTGAGAGGCTGAGGAGGGCAGATCACTTGAGGTTAGGAGTTCAAGACCAGCCTGGCCAACAGGGTGAAACCCCGTCTCTACTAAAAATACAAAAAAATTAGCTGGGCTTGGTGGCGGGTGCCTGTAATCCCAGCTACTCGGGAGGCAGAGGCCGGGGAATCACTTGAATCCAGGAGGCGGAGGTTGCAGGGAGCTGAGATCATGACACTGCACTCCATCCTGGGCAACAGAGTAAGAATCTGTCAAAAAGAAAAAAAGAAAGAAAAAGATGAATAATATATCCAAGATTGCTCAGCTGGTAAGAGTTGAGATGAGGCTTTTGATCTCGGTCTATCTCCAAGCGTTTTCATCGTGGGTTCTCAAGATTTTTGAGTTATTCATACTTTTCCCATTTCCAGAATACACATTTTATATCAAATCATCCCTTTCAAAGAATTGAATTCTCCTTTCTTTTTTTCCTTAGAGACAAGTCTTGCTCTGTTGCCCAGGCTGGAGTGCAGTGGCATGATCTCAGCTCACTGCAACTTCTGCCTCCCGGGTTCAAGCAGTTCTTGTGCCTCAGCCTCCTGATTAGCTGGTACTAAAGGCTTGTGCCACCACGCTTGGCTAATTTCTATTTTTTATAAAGACAGGATTTCACCATGTTGGCCAGGCTGGTCTTGAACTCTCGACTTCAAGTGATTCACCCACCATGGCTCCCAAGGTGCTGGGATTACAGGCATGAGACACCACGCTCCGCCCAAGAATTTTCCTTTCTGACTGGCATTATTTCAGTTTTTATAAATAGTGTGCCCCTCTATTTGTAACCATTTTGTTTTAGAACTATCTCCTTGTATTTTGTGCTTTCCCTTTCCCAGTTATGATGTGAAAAAGACACTCATTTCTGTTTTGATTTAATGTCCCTGGAAATGCCCTACCTGACTCTGACTATCTCCTTTAATAAGTCATCTAAAAGATATTGTCTGGTTCTTTTATCTCAGTAAAATGGCACTAGTGGTATTTGGATCCTGAGACAATTCAGGGAAGTATCTTGTGCACTGTGCAGGACTTCCTGACCATTTTTATGTCGTGGCACAGAGAAAACCACACAAGTAAAGTTGTAAACAAATGAGGCAGCTCACAGCCAGGGGTGACTGAGAATCCTAGGACTGAGAGCCACTCGTTAGTTCCATGTGCTGGTAACTCGTACAAGGCATGCAGGCGGTCCCTGCACACTGTTTGTGAAGCTCCTTTAGCGTTGTAGAAAACCTAAGTCTTCAGCATCAGGCAGACTTGATTTTGTATTCTGACTCCACCACTTACTAACCATGTAGTTTTGGACAAATCATTTTAACTTCTCTGAAAGCTAAGTTCTTCATGTGCAAATGGGGATGATAACTTCTGGGGTTGTAGAAAGTAGAAATAATGTGAGTCCAGTGCCTCCTCCACAGTAATGTGAAAGGAAATAAAAACTCGGGACCCTAATTCACTATGCCAAAAGAAAAAAAAATTAAACTGAAAGCTGAGTCAGGCAAGAAACTGACTTTCCTTTCACTCCTAAGCAGATAACTGCAGATAAAAGATTAAAAATCTCCACAGGTGGCCAGGTGCAGTGGCTCACACCTGTAATCCCAGGCCTCCTTTGGGAAGCCAAGGCAGGCGGATCACTTGAGGTCAGGAGCTCAAGACCAGACTAGCCAATATGGCGAAAACTTGGCTCTACTAAAAATACAAAAAATGAAAATAAAAATTAGCCGGGTGTGGTGGCACACACTTGTAATTTCAGCTACTTGGGAGGAGGAGGCAGGAGAATCACTTGAACCCAGGAGGTGGAGGTTGCAGTGAATCAAGGTCACAGTACTGCATTCCAGCCTGGGCCACAGAGTGAGACTCTGGCTAAAAAAACAAAAAACAAAAAACCTCCACGGGTCACTCTTATTTTCACCTTATCTTACATAAAGTGCCGATTTACTGAGAGCAAGGCAATACGTAATTGACTATTCCCCTACCTGCTTCTTTTCCCTTACAACATGTGGATCACCATACTTTCTCTTTCTCCTCTGGCCTGCTTTTTGTCTAAATATTAAAGCCCTCAAATTTATCTTTGGAAAAAGGCACAGACAGACCACCTACTGTTTCTGTGATTCCGTGTTGTCTCCTTCCGGGCATGTCCTTAGCCTTGGCAAAATAAACTTCTAAATTAACTGAGACCTATCTCAGATACCCTTTGTTTTACAGAAAGAATTCATATGCTTACATAGTACCTATTAATTTTGGTTTCTTAGTGTGTTACCTGTATATTGTTGTACGCCTTTGTTTCTAATGGTATTTATAAAGTATTGATGGCAGCTCTTTGGTATCTGATTTCGAGTTAGAAAATATAAAATTTTCACATAAAAATTAGATAAAAGCTGGAGATAGATTTGGGGGAAGGATGGGGCCTGTAGTAAAAGCATGAGTCAGAGTGGGTGGGGCTGTTGAAGGTTTCTGTAGACCACAGAGTGTAAGAACAAGGTTTTATAGTGTCATTTCCTTAAGTTTTACCGCTTGCTTCCTGAGAGGGCATTTGGGAAAGAGTCCCAAGGAAAGGGCCCCAAGAGAGATTCCAGAGAAACTTGTGTTCTGGAGATGTTGAGGGTAAACAAATGGTGATGAGGATGATGACAGAATGCAAGAAAAGGAAACTAGCATTTACCCAACACCCATGATGTACCGATCATTTGCTAACCCTCATATTCGATTTTACTTTCCAAAAACCTGTAGTACTGTCTCTCAACCAGGGGCAATTCGTCCCCTGGGGAACACTTGCCAATATCTAGAGACATTTTTATTTTCACAGCTGGGCTGTAACGGGTAGAACCCAGGGAAGCTGCAGAACATCCTACAATGCTCAGGGAAGGTCCTCACAGTAAGAATAATTTGGCCCAAAATGTCAGTAGTGCTGAAGCTGAAAAACTGTGCTTAAATGGTGGGAGCAGTAATGTTCATTTTTACAGATTTGGAACTTGAAACTCTGAGAAGCCACCTGGCATTCAAACCTAAACTTAACACAGCTCCAAAGCCCATGATCTTTCACCATGCCATTCCAGTGAGAACAGGGATAGAAATGAGGAGGGCAAAAATGACCAAGAGAAAAAACCAGGGCACAGATTGGTGCTCAATAGATCTTTATTGGGATATTCATTGAATGGAAGAATAAATAAGTAAAAGAATGAATGATGGCAGGGGAATAATGAGGATGAGTGTGATCGTTCTATTGCCATCCTGACATACCTCCCTGTCCTTGTCCCACAACCCAAAAGTGAGTCCAAGATTATGATAATAGAGAAAATTAAATGATGGTAGGTGGCCTGGAGCCCCCATGCTCAATTTCAGGAGGAGTCCAGATTCTAGTGCCTGGGTCTCCAAAGGAAAATAGAAATACTAGAAGATTGCTGGTGCATGCTGTCCTCCACCACCCTTTTTCAGGAGGATAGGGACGGAGACAGGAGGTTCTGAGCTGAGTTTTGGTGACCATTTCCTTCTTTCTCCCAGAGACCCAGGCCAGCTGTGGCCTCAGAGGAAGAAGAAGGGAGTTGCTTCCCCAGTTTCTAAAATTTCTGTGAATTTGAACATGGGCTAAGCCAGATTTATTCTGGGAAGCTCTGAATCTTCTAGGAGGGAGCAATTGAGAGGAAAGAGGGTGGAAAGGGAGGAGCCTATGATAAAACAGAACGTTTCTTTTCACTTCCTCTTTCAGACTCCAGAATTTGTTTGCCCTCTGGGGTAGAATCTGCCAAGCTTGGAGAGAAGGCTGTGACTGCTGTGCTGTGGGCGCCAGCTCACTCCGGGAGGTGATGGAAATCCTGTCATTCTTACCTGTCCTTGCCAGTGAGAGTGACTGGGCTGACTGCAAGTCCCCCCAGACTTGGGGCCACATGCTTCTCTGGACAGCAGTGCTATTCCTAGGTGAGTCAGGGCCCCCAGGAGGGAGAGAGGAGCAGGAACCTCAGTTGGGGCTGAGCCTGGGCAAGGATGCGGGGTGGCATGGGAAGCCTGTCAGCACACCCAGAGGAGGGAAGGCAGGCTGGTGAAGATGAATCCCTGATAATCCTGCTGGCTTTGGAAAGGCATCCAATGTGGCAGAGTTTGGGGTTTTTTCAATGTCTTTTACCCAATCTCACTGAACACCCAGCCTTTTGACGTTCTGTTGCTTCCCACATCAGAACCCGCTCTGAGAAGTCTAGTAACCTACATTCGAATGACAAATGAATGGCCAGAGTGTTTGCCTTCTTTGAAATTTGTGTTTCATAAGAGACCAAATCTTAGGCAGTAGGTCCAGTGCTGCCTTAGATAAAGGGTAGGGAGGAAGTTATAAGATGCATTTTTTGGAAGGAGGTGACGGTGGCCATTCTCTGTGCCCCTGAAACCACTTCATGCAGCAGAAGCCCATTGTCTTCATGTGTTAAGGATATTCCCCTGGGCAGAAGCACAGGGAGATCTGGGTTATCGGGGGAACAGGGGCTCTGAGAATACACAAACATGGGTAAGTCCGGAGTCATCTGCTGCGGGACCAGAGAAATCATGCATGCTTCTTTTTACTACACAGACCATAAAGGGGAGATCCTGAATCTGATCAGCAAGAAAGCCAGGGTCTTAGACCAACATGGAGGGCATTTTTCTGACCATGTTCTCAGTTGCTGGGCAGGGGACAGGGACTGATCATGCTGGATGGTTGGAAAAGCCTAGGGGAGGCCAGGCAGGGAGACCTATTGCCAGGACTATCTCTCCAGGCTCAATTCCTGGGGCTTCCACCCTCACATCCCAGAGGACAGCATACTGCCACTTATCCAAGTCGTGTGCTATGATTGCTAGTGAAATCTGATCAGCTCTGGGGGCCCTCGGCTCTTGGCCATCAATGCAAGATGATACTGTGCTGCAGGAGGCAGAGGTCAGGAAGACAGAGTATTCCCCTGCAAATGGGATGGGATGGATTAGAGTAGAGGAGAAGGTAGAGTGAACTACCTCATTTTTCATATGGGATGCCCAGGCATAGAGAAGTGATGCACTTCTCTATCTCTGCTACTAGTGCCGCCGATGTGCCAGCCACCTGGGCAAGACTCCTGGGAAAGATCTTTGGCATTTTCTTCCATTTCCCTTTTGCTAAGTCATCAAAGATTTACCCCATTTTTCTCCATTCTTATGGGGGCTTCCACATTTAGGTCTTCATCACTTGATAACTCAATGTTTATAGCACCCTCTGATGGAGTCTTGATTGCTCCCGTCTCCCCTCCCCTGCATCCATGCCGTACACGAAGGCCATGGCATCTTCAGGTCCAGCTATGGCTGTGTCAGTGCACTTCATACATGCCTTCCGTGCTGCTCCCTTGCCTACTGCAAAAACTCTAATTCTCCCCTGCTGACGGTATTCCCTATTGCACCGCAAATGGATCTTCTACGGCCAGGCAGTATGTACACTGCACTTCCTGTTTTTACCACCTTTGCTCCTGCTGATTCTCCAAATTCTATGTGTAGGCACTGTTCTAGGACTTAGAGACTTATCAGTGAACATGACCGACAGCTTTCCTGACTGGAAGTACAGGTCAATGTACTTATTGTGAAGCAATACGTATATCGGGTAGGAACATATTTGGTATTTATTAATATTTAATAAATATGGAATGGATAAATAGTGACTTCTTCCTCCTTTCTTCATCATTTTCTTTTTCTCTCTCTCTCTTCCTCTTCCTCCTCTTCCTTCTGACCCGCTCTCTCACCACACCACCCCTCCTGCCAATCCTATGTACTCAGGTTTTTAGGTACTACTTCTAAGTCAATAACTCCTAAACCTATTTCTTTTGCTTGCTTCTGTCAAGTATAATTTTATATTTCTACTGATGATTGGGCACCTCTAAAATGATTCACCAGCCCAAAAACAAAACATATTCAAAATCCAACTTATCATGTTCTCCTTACAAATGTTTTTCTTCCTCTGCATTTGTATTTGCCTAAGCACAGCCACCCTTTTCCTAGTTATCCAACTTAAATCACCCCCATCCTCTATTAGATGCCAACTTCTCTCTGCCACTTAAACTTCTTTTGCATCTGTTTCCTCTTCTTCACTTCCTATTGTCAATTCAACTTTGGGCTCCCTTATCTCCCACCAGTGAATGATTGCCAGAGCAATGGCACATAAAATTAAATGGCGACTGCTGTCTTTGAATTTATATTCTACTGAGGGATATAAACAATAAGTAAACAAACAAAAAGGCATAAGTACAAATTGAAAAGGGCTATGAAGATGTAAACAGTGTATTGTGATAAGATTAGTTGTGGGACAACAAGAGAGCAGCCTACTTTAAACAGAATGTTATGCAATTTTCTGAGGCGGTAACATTTAAGCTGACACTTTCAACACGGTAAGGATTTAGCCATTTGATGATCAGGGACACATTTCAGGGTAGAGGAATTGGCATACAGAAAAGCCCCAAATTTGAACAATGTCAGGAGGGCCAGCGTTAATGGAGCTCAACGAGTATCGAAGAGGGATCTGAGGTGAGGCTGGAGAGGTGAGCACGGACCCCATTGGGTAGGGCTTATAGGCCATTTCCATTTCATTTTAAGAGCAAAGAAAGGCAACTAGAGGCTTGTAAGCCGGGGAGTGACATCATCTGTTTCTTTTTTTTTTTTTTTTGAGGAACTAACTTCTTTGTGGAAAACGTATTGTAGAGGAAACATAAGAAGTGAGGGGACAAATTGAGATATGGGAAAAAGCTAATGGTGACCTAACCTGAGCCGTCACGGCTATAATGGGGGTGAAGAGAAGTTAGTGGGTTCAAGGTCTAAGTTGGAAGGAGAATCAACAAGAATTCCTGGTGTGGAAGGGGCGGGTTTTGGGGAGACACGTTAAAAGATGGCTTGCAGGTTTCTGGCCTGTGTAGCTGGGTGGATAGTGAAGACAGACATTGACATGCGGAAGACTGGGAGAGAAACAGAATGTGTCCAGTTGATATGAAAACACAAAACCATTGGTGATTTTGACAAGAAAAGTTCTAGAGGACTGCTGAGGGCTGAGTCCATATTGTAGAGAATTAGTGAATGGGAGGAGAAGAAATGAGGACAGCCTATGTAAGAAAAACAATGGAGAAGTTTAGTTGTGAAAGAGACGAGAGAGGTCTGGCACGATGGCTCCAGCCTGTAATCCCAGCACTTTGGGAGGCCAAGGTGGGTGGATCACTTGAGGTCAGGGGTTCAAGACCAGCTTGGCCAACATGGTGAAACACCATCCCTACTAAAAATACAAAAATTAGCTGGGCGTGGTGGTACACACTTGTAATCCCAGCTGCTCTGGAGGCTGACGCAGGAGAGTCACTTGAACCTAGGAGGTGGAGGTTGCAGTCAGTTGAGATCATTTCACTGCACTCCAGCCTGGGTGACAGAGTGAGACTTCATCTTTAAAAAAAAAAAGGACAAGAGAAACGAGGCAGTACCTGGAATTGTCAAGGAACAGTTTTTTTGTTTTTAATGGAAGATACTAAAATAAATTTACCATTGATGGGAAGATCCGGCTAAGAGGAAGTAACTGGTGATGCAGAAGAAAAAGTAAATAACAGAGAGGGAAATCCTTGAGAGGATTGAAGGGAATGGGGTCAGCGTACTTGCGCTGAGACTGACCGTAGGCAGGGGGAGAGGTACTTTCTCTCTCAGGAAGAGACACTGCATCTGTCTCAGGAAGAGGTGCAGATAGACTGGTAGATTTAGTCAGGGGATGACGTGAGATCTTCCGTGTAACCTCTTTTGTTTTCTCTGTGAAATATGAGGAAAGGCAAAAAGCTAAAAATGAGAGGGGCTGGAGGCAGAGGGTGGGACGGGAAAGTTTGGGGAATGAGGAAAAGATGAACGTCACTACTCAGAGTAGCAGAGCAAATTTCTTGGAGGAAAGTGCCACAATGGCAGCTCTGTGTCCTTTCGAATGCCGTGATCGTAAATTTACTGCGTCAACAATTTGCCTTCTTGTCTGGTAATCTCAGTAACACGCAGCTGAGCAAGTAAAGGCATGGAGAGTACAGGTGCATTTGGTGGAGACAGAGAAAGGCAAGGAGGTTAAGGGGATTAGCAAAGAGGTAATTATAATGATGCCTCACGGAACTCAAGCTAGATGGGGGTGGGTGGGAGGTGCAGGCAAACATGGGCTCAAGGATAGACAGTGGTAAGACGGATGCTTCGGGGTTCTTGATACGGTCAAAGATTATTTGGTGAGCTGTACTTGAGAAAAGAACGTTCATCTCCAAAGAAAGTAAATTTACTAATTATGAGTAGTTCAAGTTATGAAGAGGCCAGATGTTTGATAGATTATCCACATCTTCTGCATCACTGCAGTCATCTCTCTTTTTTTTTTTTTCTCTGACCTCATTCTTCCATCACAATTAGTTTCTTTCTTAATTAATCTCTCTGGAATTTACCCTGTTCCAATCTATTTGGCACTGCACTTTCAGCTCCAATTTGAAAATTCTAAGTGACTTGCCAATGTATACTGAACCAAGGAGTGAACTTATAAAAAATTAACTTAAATTTATTTGAAATTCACCATGTGCCATTTGGCTCACTATATGCCTTATCTGTATTATCTCATTTAATCCTTACAATAAGCCTATGAAATAGATACTGCTGTCATTTTCATTTACAAGCAAGAAAACTGAAGCAGAGAAAAAGTTAAATAATTTGTGAAAGGTCACTTAGCATTAATGGAGTCAGCATTTAAACTCAGTATGTGCTTTTTCCCCACTGTCACACCACCTGGCACTAGGAGCCCTCCAGAGTATGACTTCTACCTTCCTTTCCTGCTTAGTCCCTTATTATTGGAAATGCTTGAGGAGAGACCAGAAATCAAGTAGAAGCTAGGCTGCAACTTGCTGGGAATGTTGCCAAGTACCTGCAGCTCCTTCCCATTGAATACCTCTTCCCTCTCTGCTGAAATCCTAACAGACCTGGAAGGTCCATGATGAACCTGGAAGGTCCCATCTTCTCTGTGGGATTTCCCTCCTTACGAACCCCAAACCCTCCCAAACACAGAGCTCTGGGATCTTTTCTTTCTCTAAACTTCCATAGCATTTTATCCATATTCCTCTAACGGCATTAAGTGCATCTCTTTGACATCAGATTACACATGTGCTTATCTCCACCGTTAGAGTGTTGTCCTCAGTGGGGGTAGAGACTTACTTTATTTTCCCTTAGGTGGACTCAGCGTGCATTGCAGGACAGTAGGAAGCCAGTTCAGGATTTGTTGATTAATGTTGGGTTGCAAAGGAAGGAAGTGATTGGTCCAAGTGTGTATAGTGTATATATTGAGACATGGGAGCATCGGGACCAGAATCCAGCTCTCTAAACTTTGAAGCCAACACTCTCTCCACGTTGCCCCCTTCTCACCCCTTGGTCTGCTTCCATTTCCTTCCATGCTTTTGTCCCTGAAAACATACTTGCACCTAGAAGCTTCTTGACTTTCTCTTAGCCCAGATGCAAGAGAAAACCCTCAGCAATGGACAAACGAACACACACACACACACACACACACACACACACACACACGGCTCTGATTCACCTAAAAACCCAGCTTTGCTTCTTTACCCAATAATAGTACTCACAAATCTTTACCCACCAGGCCCACACTTTGCCTCCACTAGGGAAGTTCTTTTCTTCACTCAGTGGCATCCCCTTCCCCCACATGAAGTCACAGATCTTGTGTCCTTTTGCAGTCTCTTCCTCCTTGTATTAGATATTTCTAAAAGCAAAAACCTGGAAGACCTAAATGCCAAGCAATAGGGTTGTTAAATAGATCACAGGAGAGCCAAATAGTAGGATATAGTGCAGCCATTTAAAAAGACAACATGGGCGGGGCGCAGTGGCTCATGCCTATAATCCCGGAACTTTGGGAGGCCGAGGTGGGCAGATCACTTGAGGTCAGGAGTTCGACACCAGCCTGGCCAACATGGTGAAACCTGTCTCTATATGTAAAAATACAAAACTTAGCCAGGTGGGTGGTGCAGGTTTCTAATCCCAGTTCTTGGGAGGCTGAGGCAGGCGAATTGCTTGAACCTGGGAGGCAGAGGTTGCAGTGAGCTGAGATTGCACCACTACACTCCAGCCTGGGTGACAGAGTGAGACCCTATTCTTCCAGCCCCTCCCCGACAAAAATAAATAAAATAAAACAAAATGACAACATAGAAACAGATAGTAGAACTTGCACTGCTCAGTGAAAAATCAGGTTAGAGAACAGTTTTTAGAATATGTCTTCATTTGCTACTTATGTATGTATGTGAACAGCGTGTGTGTGTGTGTGTGTGTGTGTGTGTGTGTGAGATCACAGAAAAAAATCCAACAGGATATATGCCAAGGTGACAATATTTTGCTCCTGTGTATTTTCTATTTTTCTGCAATGATCATGCATCATCTGTGCAATCTCTACCCCCTCCCAACAAAATAACAAATCTTGCTCTCAGGATAAACTCCAGGAAAATTATTTATGCTGATGCATAAATCATATGTAAAGCCCAACAGAGACCTCTTTCCAGAGGTATTTTTTATTTTAATCAGTCAAGAGGGGTAAGCCAAAGGAAAATGTCACAAAACAGGTGGATGGGGGTGTTATATAATTTTATTTCATTTTCGTATGCTATTGGGAAGGTGTTCTCAGTTCTTCTGAAACTGCAGCTCATCCAGGCAGTCCCAGGGGATATGGGGTGAGGGCCGTGCTGTAGGTGAAGGGTGCCCTGGGCCTGGGCAGTCTCTGGGCCAAAGTGGGGGCAGGTGTCAGTTCGGACGCTCCACTGTGGGCTGATCTTTGCTTTCTGTCTTACAGCTCCTGTTGCTGGGACACCTGGTAAGTACTCCACCCACAGCCTCTCCTTCCCCCGGCCCCCCTTTTCCTCTCCTGCCAGTGGCCTGTCTGGAGGTGCTCTAAATGCACCAGCAACTGAGCCCAGTACCAAGTCAGGGCCAGGAAAGGGCAATTGCTCCTGAAAGATCTCCTGCTCCCTCTTCTGCTTTCCTGCTTCCTTTCCCTCCTTCCATGGAGGCAAGTGGTAGGTAGCCATGGGGAAGTTGTCACAGAAAATGAGAACTCTGACCTCTCTCTCAACTGCCTGCTGCTGTCCAAATAAAACAAAGAGCTTCCTCTCCCCAAATAAAATTCAGGCACATGCAAAATCACGTGGCCTTCATATGTTGTCTCCCTGTGTTGCTAAATCCTCTACTGTACATGTCTCTGAGAGCGTCAAGACCTGTTGCCTGGCAGACAGCGGTCTCTGCATACCTCTGGCTACACTTTGCTGGCCACTTTTGTGTTTGTGCCACTCAGCCTCCATCACCCCAGGACTGGCCTTCCAGCTTTTCTCCCTCTCTCTTTATCCTTCTGAGGCCAGAGAGGCTCGACCATGCTTGGGTGTGAGGACAGACCATCTTGACCTCTTTTTAAAAGGATGCAGAATGACATTAGGTCAGAACAGAAACCTAATATCTGACTCCCATGCCTGCCATCTCCACCAGACCCCCCACTTATCTTCAGCCAGCCCAGGAGAAAAGTTACCCACTAGTATCCAAATGCCTCTGTTTATCAGGGAGAAAAGTTAGTCTCAAAAGAGGATGTATGCATGGGGTGTGTGTGTGTGTGGCGGTGGGGGAGGTTGGTGGGAGAGAGCAGGAACTGGTGAGGATACCTCTTGGTGAAGTATGTGTGTTTCTAGGGTGTTTCTCTTGCCCGCTCCGTCCCTTTTCCCTGTTGCCCAGTCTGAGTCCCTGGGTTCCCTGGGGCCCTGTGGTGGGATGTATGAGCAAAAGCAACTGCCTTCAGTTGCAGAACCATTCTGGACCTGACTCAGGTTGTGGTGCCCCCAGTAAGACCACAGGTGCTTCTTTGAGATTCAGGGCCTGCTCAGGCTCTTGGGCTCCCTGTTCCTCATGCTACCTCCTTTCTCTGCCTCTCAGCAGCTTCCCCGAAGGCTGTGCTGAAGCTCGAGCCCCCCTGGATCAACGTGCTCCAGGAGGACTCTGTGACTCTGACGTGCCAGGGGGCTCACAGCCCTGAGAGTGACTCCACTCAGTGGTTCCACAGTGGAAATCTCATCCCCACCCAAAAGCAGCCCAGCTACACCTTCAAGGCCAACAACAATGACAGCGGGGAATACAGGTGTCAGACTGGCCGGACCAGTCTCAGTGACCCCGTGCATCTGACTGTGCTTTCCGGTCAGTGGAGGAAGGCCCTGGGGTGGACCTGGGAGGGCCAGGACGGATGAAATCTGTTTACAGGCAAAGGTTGACAGGAAAGGGGGGTGGCCTGCTTCGTGGGAAGCATTGCTGTGAGTTGCTCACATGCTTCCCATTTCTCCCACCTCCTTTGCTTAGCATGCATGCTGGGGGTGCATATTCCTCAAAATTTCCTCAGCAAATATCAGTGGTGGTTTTTGCCTCAGTCCTGATTGAACAGAAGATGGTGACAAGGCCACAAACAGGCAGCCAAGTGTGAGCGAAGCAGAAGGAAATCCCTACTGCATAAAGCCCATTTCCATTTTAATGGCAGAATTGAAAAGCACACACAGACCACCACTGCATCCTAGCCCTGGAAATGACTCACTACACAAACTTGAATTCATTTAACTCTTGTGTTTCTGTTTCCTCACCTGCTCCTTGGGGACCAAACGCCTCTCGTTTCCCTGCCCCCAGGGAATCCCCACCCTCTGTGCCCCTTCTCTACGTTCTCACGGTGCTGGGTGTTCTTCTCTTTCTCTTCCACCAGCCTGTGGGCAACCTGAGGTGAAAGTTCTGTCTTATCCATCTTTGGATTTCCAGCACCTGAAACTGGGGAGGGCTTAATAAATATTTTGCTGGAGAGGTTGATGATCTTACAAAGCTCCCAATGAAAAGTGGCTCTCTGTAAAGCAAAGTTACAATGAGATGATGATGAACATTTTCCTTGTTACTTTTCACTTAGTCCTCTCTCTTCACCTGAATAGCAAATTTTCTTCAAAAGTACACAGCACACGAATGACCCACTGGTGACACTGCTGCCTTTAGACAAAGACCCCGCTGGAGAGAAGCTCCACATTTATGAATATTCCCCAAGTAAATTTATCAAGTAGCATTCATTAGGTCACATTTGTTGCAGGTTCGTGACTCTACTGTCCACAAAGGCATGTCATCCTGATATGCAGTCTCCTGGGTCTGCATATCAGGAGGGATATGCAGATTTCTCCTTCCCTCCCTGACATGGAAGAGATGGCACCTTAGGGTCTCTCGTGTTCTTCCTGCAGAGCCTGCTGGGCAGGACAGGCCTGCAGCTGCCTTCCTGGGAGAAGGAGGAAATGAGTGTGTCCTGAACACCTATTATGTGCTAGGGGCTATTGTAGATATATGACATTATTGTGCCATTTTCACAAATGAGGAAACTGAGGCTCAGAAGACTTAATTTGCCCAAGATTACAGAGTTCATAAATGATAGAGCCAGCATTAGAGTCCAGGACTGTCTGATTTCAAACCTGATCTGTTCCCTCTGCCTATCATGTCCCACCAGTGAGGAAGGTCTCGGTCTCACAGCTAAGCGAAGACCTCCTGGGTCCTCTAGGTTTTTTTCCATCTTTCAGAGTGGCTGGCGATCCAGACCCCTAGGCTGGAGTTCCAGGAGGGAGAAACCATCATGCTGAGGTGCCATAGCTGGAAAGACAAGCCTCTGGTCAAAGTCACATTCTTCCAGAATGGAAAATCCAAGAAATTTTCCCGTTTAGACACAAGCTTTGCCATCCCACAAGCAAACCACAGTCACAGTGGTGATTACCACTGCACAGGAACCGTAGGCCACACGCTGCGCTCTTCCAAGCCTGTGACCATCACTGTCCAAGGTATGGGGAGTCTGCCAAGATGTAGGGAGAGAGAGGAGGGGATGGACAGGGCTAAGGTCACATGGGCCTACATGGAGATCTGAGAAAGGCCACAGCAGCAAAATTGGGTGCTGGAGCAAAGGAGGGATGTGGGGAAGACTGGCTAAGTATTGGCCAGGAGTAGGGGTAGGAGCTTGGAGCCCTCAGCATCCAGTGATAGGTGGCCAGGCTGTTGTTCCACTTTGAAATGCAGGCCCCAGACTAAAGATGGCAGCGAAGCAGAGTTCTGTCATTGATGCAGAGGGTCCCTAAGCTCCCTGGGCATTCTTAAGAGCTGAGTTTCCCCTCGTTTATTCTCATGGCTCACGGTATAGCCATTCACTCCAGAAGCCTGGCATGTCGTGGGCTGTTCAAGGCTGTGCTCCATAGAGAAATGATGCCTCCAGCTATGGGAAGCTATGGGGCCACTCTCCCCACTGCCTCGGAGGACTCAGCTCTCCACTGCCCCTCAGGGCTAAGGGGAGCCCTTCCCTCTGCTCCTGCCCACTCGCTAATGTGCATTAATTAGTTTGGTGGAGAAACCTGGGTAGGGAGGAGGCACAAGTCCAGCCACGGAAACCCCGTGCGGATGAGGCTGGGGTTGTAGTGAGTGCTGCACAGGTGAGTGACTCAGACACAGAAGAGCTTTGGGTGACAAGCACTAGAGGAGGAGGAAGGTGGGACAAGGAGAGTACTGCCCATCCTAAGTACTCTCTGCCCGTCCTGTCTTCCCTAGTGCCCAGCATGAGCTCTCCGTTGATGGGGATCATTGCAGCTGTGGTCGCTGGGATTGCTGTAGTGGCCGTTGTTGCTGCTGTAGTGGCCTTGATCTACTGCAGGAAAAAGCGGATTTCAGGTTTGTAGCTCCTCCTGGTCCCTTTTGTTATCAGTTTCCACGTGTCCCAGGCCTTAAACCCAAACATTTCCAGAGTCCCTCTTTTTGGGCTAGATACACATTCAGATCTAGGCCCATGTTGTATTATAGCCACTCATTCATTTATCAGATCATTCATTTGACAAGACTTGAACAAACTGGCTTATGTGTCAGCCAACGTGTGAGACATGGTGGGTGATGCCAAGATGAAGTCCAGTCCCTGCTCTTGGGGAGTTCTCAGCATTGTTGAGGAAGACAGAAGTACAACTACGTCATTGTAATAAGATGGGATAAGAACAATGATAGGGACATGAAAAGCCTAGGATAGGAGTACAGAAGAGGCTTCATAGCCCAGCAAGTTGAAGAAGGTCTAGGGGGAGCAGCGTCGTGTGGTGATGGCGTGTGCACGTAGTGGGGCTGGACTGCCTGGTTCAAATCTAGTTCCACGGTGTACCAGCTGCATGACCCAGGTGAGCCTCTCCACCTCTCTGTGCCTCAGTTGTCTCATGTGGAAACTGGGGACACTAACAGGACTCACCTCACAGGATTGCCATGGGGATGAATGAGTGCCTGGCAGGCAGTAACAGCACACAAACAGGAGCTGCGGCCATTATGGAGGAGGTGGTGTGAGAGGGCAGCGCTTGGCTAGGAAGGAGGACTCTCTAGGCACGGGGCCAAGGCAGGGACTCAGGCTGGGTGCGGCTCATATGGGGGTCGAGGAGGGAGTAGAGAGGGTGCTGCAAGCTGCTGAGAAAGAGAAATAATCCCACTAACACCTCACAAAGCACTTCGCAATCGGTTCATAGCCAGGACCTCAGTTACTGATGATAAGTAAATACAAAGAAATAGAGAGAGACTGAGACACAGGGGTGTTTTTAAAAGGCAGAGCAAGCCTCAGACAGATGCCATACTATGGCCTTTCTCACACTCCTGGGTGTCCCCACGGATGAGCTGAATTCTGTCTCCGGACCAGCCCTTTTCCGGGTGGGAGCAGTCCCTGAGCAGGGGAGCTGGGGGTGGGAGGACAGGAGCATCTGCCGGAGGGAAGTCCTGAGCTGGTCCCATCTAATCCTGGCCTGGGTCATTGGTCCTGAGGACTCAGACCCCACCCCATAACCATACTAACCTCCTGTGTGCCCCTCCCAGCTCTCCCAGGAAACCCTGAGCGCAGGGAAATGGGAGAGACCCTCCCTGAGAAACCAGGTGAGTACAGCGTTGTCTCAGGGATTTGGTGATGCTTCACCAGGGCTGCTGGCTGGACTGGAGCCAGCAAGAAAGCGCTTGTGTGAGTTCAGCTGGGAGCCAGGGAGGGAGCAGCGGTGTGGGGGTGGCCGGGGCTCGAATCACTTGGTCAGCTCTGAGTCTAACTCCCGGGCCTGAGGAGGACCTCAGTGGAGATGAGAAGTGAAACATCAGTCCCAGATACAGAGGAGAGGGCTATGTCCAAATTTCTGGGGATATTCCAGAGCAGGAAATCAGAGATACTTTGGTCTTTCTGAGGAGCTTTGGCAGAGCTGGGAAAGGAGAGGGCTAGGGGCTATAGAGCTGAGACCAATCGGATGTGGGAGGCAGGAGTCTAAGGGGGAAAAGGAGGAGGCCTGAAAACCCTTCCATCTGCTGAGGAGTCTGCCTCTGTGGAAGGATGGGGCAGAGTGGCCAGGCTCAGCTCCCTGTGGAACACTAAGAGGGGATTTGGGCTTGAGAAAATTCTGGGGGACTAGGAGCACTAGTGGGCTCTAACCTACAGGCAAAGCTCGGTTCCGATGCCCACGCACTCAAGGTTGATTGAATTTTGGCCTGGTTCTGTCCCCCTCACACATTGGAGCCTTGAGCAAGATAGTCTCCCTGATGGGGTTCGGTCTCCTCACTGGGGATATGAGTGGGTGGCCGGGGTGACCTCTCAGCCCTTCTAGGTCTGACACTGTGAGAGCCAGGGGCTATCGAAGCCCTGGCCCAGGTGGGAGTGTGTAAAGGAACAGGAGGATGCCAGGCAACTTCCAGACTGTGGTTAAAGTCAGAGCACAAAGGACGCTGGGGCTTTCTCTGGGAGCCTCCAAGACAGTAGGAACAGGCAGAAAAAAGAGGCCCTGAAACACCCCAACTCAGATGGCTGGAGTATGACTCAGAGCAGAGCCAACAGATTTGAGAGCTTGAGCAAAATAGCACTCTTCCAGCTGTGCTTTCAGCAAGGTCACACGTTCGCTGGCCCGGCCCAGAGGGGATACCAGCCTGCGTTCACACCAGGGCCAAAGCAGATCTGGGAAAAAAAAGAAGTTCAAGCAACTGGATTAGTCGCCTTGATGTGCGGTTCTGTCTATACTGACAGAAGCATGTTTCACAAGGCATTTATGCAGCCAGGCAACGGGGCTGATGATTTCCCAAAAGACAGAGCTGGGTTGCTCGGATTTGGGGGGAATGTATTAGAATGGGAATTCAGAATGTGGTTTGCTGCAGAATTTAGAGCATGGCAACAAATGCTCTCTGTATTCAGGGGGTGAGAGAAGAGACTAGATGCATTGTCTCAGACTCCTCCCAACTTCCTGAGAAATGTGGCTTTCAGATACTGAGGCTGCTTTTCACACTGGCTAAGTCAGTTCATGCCAAAATATGAGGAAATTCTGTGTGTTTCCGACACTAACCAGAGAAAGTCCGTCCTTCCTTCCTTCCTCCCTTTCTCCCTTTCTCCCTTTCTCCCTCACTCTCTCTTCCTTTTTAATGTCACAGAGTACCAAATTTTTCAAGTTCCAACAAAGATGCACTACATTTAGTGGAAATGACTCTCAGCCTTCTCTCCCTGATATGGTCAACAAAAATCTGGACTTTACTTCACTCTGATACTGAACACCAGGCACCCCCCTCCCCACCCCTACCCCCAGCATTTTCCCTAATATCTCAGATTCCAAAGCAGCCTGGTTTGCTTCTAGGAAAGCTCAGCAATTCCATGAAAAGGATGTGGCCCAAGTGACGGCTTTACTTTTTCAGCGTGGCCTGTGGGGAATTCTGTGGCTGGGCTGCCCCAAGTGTGGATCAGTGAGGCCGTATTTGCCCAGGGCTTGGCCTTGAGGCCCGAGACAGGGTCGTGATGCTTGCTTTGGCTGTAGTTTGGGTGCTGGTTTTGCAGCCTCAGCATCAGCACAGGTAGGCCCTCTTCTCCAGTAGTGTTCTGGCTGATATCTCTTCTTTTTGCCCGCAGCCAATCCCACTAATCTTGACGAGGCTAACAAAGTTGGGGTAAGTAATCCCAGCCATCTCACTGTCTCATCTCCCTTGCTGCCTTTTCTATTGCCTTCTTCCCTAGGCTCTCCCTGTGGATCCTCACTGCTGGTTTCTTCCTTCTCTAGGCTGAGAACACAATCACCTATTCACTTCTCATGCACCCAGATGTTCCGGAAGAATTAATAGAGCCTGATGACCCTAACCGTATTTAGTCTCCATTGTCTTGCCCTGGGATTTGAGAAGAAAATCAGAGAGGGAAAGATCTGGTATTTCCTGGCCTAAATTCCCCTTGGGGAGGACAAAGAGATGCTGCCATTCCAAAAGAGAAGAACTCTTCCAGAGTCGTCTACCTGAGTCCGAAGCTCCCTGTCCTGAAAGTCACAGACAGTATCGTCCCAGGTGACCGACTGCCCCTTCTGTGCCTCAGCCCTTCTTGACATCAAGACTTTTCTGTTCCACATCCACATAGCCAATACAATTAATCAAACCACTGCTATTAACAGATTGTAGCAACATGGGAAATGCTTGTTACAGGTGACATGAGAACAATCATGTAAATCTATATGATTTCAGAAATGTTAAAACAGACTAACCTCTACCAACAGATTAAAAGTGATTGTTTCTGGGTGATAAAATTATTGATGATTTTTATTTTATTTTTCTATGAAGATTGTGTATTACTTTTATAATAAAACATTATAAAAACAACATTCTGCTTACTTCTCAAGGCTGTATTGGTTGGAGTGTAGACTGTATTGGCTGGAGTGTAGACTGAACTGCCTGGGGTCTGTTTCTCTTCAGTGATGAGACTCTTAGGAAGGTAGGAATGGATAAGATGTGGGGGAGAGGAGAGATGGGGATTTGGAGTGTAGGGTGCCCCTCTTCTTAAAATAATACAGCCATGCACTGCATAATGATGTCGAGTTCAGCAACAGACTGCATATATCATGGTGATCCCGTGAGTTTATAATATCATATTTCTACTGTATCTTTTCTGTTCATATGTTTAGATATATGAGTACTTACCACTGTGTTACAGTACCTACGGTATTCAGTACAGTAGCATGCTGTACAGGTTTGTAGCCCAGGAGCAATAGGCTATACCATATAGCCTAGGTGTGTAGTAGGCTACACCATTTAGGTTTGTATAAGTACATGCTATGATGTTCACATGACAAAATTGCCTGCATTTCTCAAAATGTATCCCCATATTTCAACAATGCATGATTATACCCTTCTGCCAATGACCTTGTAATCTTGTTTCCATGTCTTCTTCTATTTCCTCCTATGGCAAATAAAGCACTGTTTTGCAACACAAGTTCATAGGAAGGCAAACTTCAGAAGAGCCCTAAGTGGAGATTGCTGACATGTCCCACTCTGCTATTCTCCCAATGTAGTCACCAGAAGGATGTGACCTTCTCAGAGAGGTCATCTCAGGCAGATTAGAAACATGACTGGCAGTCTCCTTGAGGGTTTGGTGAGTGCCCTTGAAGAGGCTTCATTTTCCTGGGACTCTAACACAGTATCATTGTGCAACATTTGTCTTGCATTCAGGACTCAGCCACTTTCTTTGCGGGGTGGTTTCCATGGATTTCTATGATACTTACTTTTTCTGGTCCCACAGTCAGATTTCATATGTACACATTGCTATAGTAGTAAGGGATAGTAATTAAAATTACTGAGTCATTAAGGGCTTACTTTGTGCCAAACTATGTACTTTGGAATTTAGAGAATTTAAGATTATTAGACTTTTATATTTCCTCTTTTGTGAGTTTCCTGTTTATTTATTCTTTATCAATTTTCATAGATACAAGGTATGTCCCTTTATTTATGAATTACATAGTAGTAACTTATTTATTTTTATTTATATGTAAATTATTCACTACACTAATAGTATATTCTTTTTATAAAATTAAGATACAGATAGGCAAAATGAAACAATCAGATCACCCATAAATCCACAAATGCTAATAATTAATGCTAATATTTAAGGATATTAATCCACATTCCTGTCTGGTGGCAGGTGTGTATTTGTGTTTTAAAAACTGGATCATGTCATATATTTTTACATGTTCATAAATACACTCAGGCAAAAATGTATGCTCATTGTCAGCAGGTAAGCCCACATAATACAGAAAGATAAGGAGGAAAAAGTAGAAGTTCCATTTTGTCATCAGTCCCTTCTATCCTATTCCCTTTTCTTTCTTTCTTTCTTAACTTTTTTTTTTTTTTTTAAGAGATGGGGTTATAGACCAGGCTGGAGAGCAGTGGTAGGGTCATGGCTCACTGCAGCCTCAAACTCCTGGGCTCAGGTGATCTTCCCCCGATACCTGGCTAATTTTTAAGCATTTTTTTGGCTTGGCACAGTGGCTCACACCTGTAATCTCAGCACTTTGGGAAGCCAAGGTGGGTGGATCACCTAAGGAGTTCGAGATCAGCCTGGCCAACATGGTAAAACCCCATCTCTACTAAAAATACAAAACTTAGCCAGGCATGGTGGCTCACAACTATAGTCTCAGCTACTTGGGAGGCTGAGGCATGAGAATCACTTGAACTTGGGAGACGAAGGTTGCAGTGAGCCGAGATCATGCCACTGCACTCCAGCCTGGGCCACAGAGTGAGACTCGGTCTCAAAAAAAAAAATTTTTTTTTTGTAGAGACAGGGTTTTGCTGTGTTGCCTAGGCTGATCTCATACTCTGAGCCTCAAGTGATCCTCCCCACTTAGCCTCCCAAGGTGGTGGGATTACAGGTGTGAGCCGCTGTGCCTGGCCTTGACATGCTATTTAAAGTCTGAAACTTGACTCCTGATCCCCAGGGTCAGTTTCTTTACTAATAGTTTTTCAATAAGCTAGCCATTTAGATAGTTGGCTTGATTATGTAGCCAGAGGGGGCATAAAAATCCCTCTGTGAACCTCTGCTTTGAGCTTTCCCATACCCAAGATTCCTTGCATGGATTTTGGTGGTTCAATCCAGACAAACAGTGCAAATAAGGTACAGTGACTATAGGGATGCTGGGGAGCTTGCACGTGGAATCTCTTGGACTCCCAATAATTGCCTAGACTCTCTTTCTTCTGCTATACTTTTAAATAAGCACTTTGTGTGAGCAAGCTCTGCAGAGTTTGATGAGTTCTTTCAAATATCCTCTTCAGTAAGGACATCCCTGACTACCCTTCCCACACAGTTATTACTCTGCTCTTATTTCCTTCTTGGCATCTATCACTATATGTAATTATCTTATGCATTTTTTTTGCTTAAATATTTACTTACATGTCCTAAAATGTAAACTCACTGCGGGCAGGGTGTTTGCATTATTCACTGGTGTATTCCAGAGACTAGAACATGCAATCACTATTACTGAATGAGTTAATGAATGAAACTTTTACTGTTTCTGAGTTATGTGACATGCTTAGGAAGGTCTTCTTCATCCTAAGAGTTCAAAAAGGTAATCCTATATTTATTAATTTCCCTTGAAATCTTATTATCTTTATCTAAAACTCTTAAGTGCTTTAAAAATATTAGATCTTAACTATATCTGGAACTTATTTTTGGATTTGTTGAAAGGTGAGAACCTGACATAATTTTTTCCACATGAAAGTCAGTTGTCCCGATACCCTTTGTTGAATAGTTTAATGATTTGAAATCCTAAGTTTTCACCTAAATTCCCACTTATAGGTCTATTTTTGGCCTCTCTTGTTTGTCTGACAAACCATTCTGTTTGTCTGTTTCTGCATCAATACCACATTTTTAGTTATTGCAACTTTATAGTGTACTCTGATATACAGAAGGTCAAGTTTCCTCTTATTCTTTCGTTTCAAGGTTTTCTTGGCTATTACTGTGCTGCTTCTCTTCCAGATGTACTTAAGAATTCCATAATACCGCCGGGCGCGGTGGCTCAAGCCTGTAATCCCAGCACTTTGGGAGGCCGAGGCGGGTGGATCACGAGGTCAAGAGATCGAGACCATCCTGGTCAACATGGTGAAACCCC